GGGGGGGGGGGGGGGGGGAGGAGGAGGAGGAGGAGGAGGAGAACATAGGGAAGAGGAAAGAAGCCTGTTGCCAGGAGAAATAGTCTTGATTATACCCAAAAAGAGGGTTCCAGAGTCAGGGTTCCAAGTATAGCCCTAGGAAGGACAAAGGGCAAAGTTCAGAGGTGACTTGAAAACTGGGGACTTAATTAAGCCTCTCATTTTAGAGCAGTTGCATGCATCTCACCTGTCTCCATCTGCCCTCTTCAAGGTGGAATAATATTTAGGCATCAACCTGACTTTTAGCTCCCTGCTCTAAAGAGAGGAAACAAATAGAAATTCCTATGATGGCAGGTCATGCTCCAGAGGAACATCTCCCCAGTTCTGGAAGCTGGACATCACCCAGAATCCTTGCAGTCATTATATCCTGTCCCATTGTCTAAGTATGAACAGACAATCAAGGATTACAGAGTGTAGAAGTAAAATTTTTAAAAAGCACATGTTTACCTTTGAGGATGGAAGCCTTCTCCTTCAAGCGGCACAAAGATCTCACATGGCTTTGAGCCTGTAGAGAAGAACATGCAGTGACCAGTATTTACAAAGTCATAACAGTGCAAATATTGTTCATCGATAGTTCAATCAACACATAGACATGATACAGGAAAAATAATCTGATACAGGGTAAGTGTAATGACAATGTGAAGGTACACTGTCTGAAACAGGGAAGCAGAAGAGAAGTAAAGATGAAGGAAAAGTTCATAAAGCCATATCCTGTTGTTTTATAGGGTAGCGTCAAGAGACTGTCTAAAGAGATATTAGAGTAACAAAGGACTCTCTCTCTCTCTCTCTCAAAAATAAATAAAAAAAAATTTTTTAATCTGTAAAAGGATATATTAGGGGTAATACAAATAAGCTCTGTCTTCATCTTTCACAGCACGGACCTTTTAGACACCACCTAAAATTGCTAATCAAGAAACGGAGGAGTATGCCTATTACTTAGAGTAGTGATGGTCACTACCTGAAAAAGAGAAAGCAGCCAGGGAACAGGGCAGATATTTACTTCCAGGGAGTAGAAGTGATGAGCTGAATGCCCTGAGACCTTTTCCCAAACACAAAAACAAATAAATTGATTAAATTTAAAAATCCCTCTGGAATGTCTGGATTTTTACCATATACTTGAACTCGTTTTACACACATTTAAACATTTCTAAGGCGAATGTATATACCTCACACTAAAACAAGCAGGGTCTATTACCCACCAAATGTAATGAGTGACTCTCCTGACTCGGACAATTTTCTATATGTTATCTCATCTGATATACACCTGGAGGGTGGGTAGGGGTGGCGATCTCTTGTTTCAATGAGAAACAGACTAGGTGTGTTTAGATGGCTCCAAGCAATCAGGTGAGGAGTAGCCAAGGTGAGGCCAGAGCTAGAGCCTTCTGGTTTCACACTCCAGTGTCCTTCCCTCTGTGTCCGTGGTCCTCAGAAGTTTGGTTTTAGCATTTCTTTATACGCCCCCAAACTAAGAAGTCCCAAACCCATATGGTTTTTGGTTGAATCCATTTAAAAACAAGACCAAGTACCCATATGGTAACATCAATATTTTGATAAAAATAACTATAGTTTCCAAAACAAAAAAGTAGTGAAAAAGCAAAAGCATTACCTCAAATATTTGCGGGTCTCTGGAAGGGCAGAAGACAGGGGGATTCTCCTGACTGCTGTGCATTCACTGTGTTGGGTCAGCACATGCCAAGCTGCCCCTGGGGAGACTCCACTGCCCACATAAAAAAGGGCAAATAATATCTCAGCAAAATTAAGAAAACAGTTTTGAGTTTGCAAGCCCCCTGAAAGGATTCCTGGGACTTCTAGTGGTCTCCAGACTATACTCTGGATTCCACTCCTTCAGGCAGCTTTCCTTGATCTCTCCAGGAAGAAGTCAAATCACCTTCAATGTTGTTCCCATGGTGCATTCCTGGAACCTCAGGTTAGTACTAATTTTACTGTTTGCATAATAGTTGTTAAGAAATCCATGTCCTATACTAACCCCAAAACTTACTGGTGCTCCAGGCCCTACCTAGCACCTACTACAATAGTATATACCTAGGAAATACTCAATAAATGTGAAATAAATCAATAAATGAGGTCCAGGAATGTCCCACAGCAACTAAGGAAGCGCTGTATAATGTACAGTGCTCTGACAGAGAAGTAGAAAAACCAAACTAGAATACAGTGACATTGTTAGGAAAAGGAGCTTGTAAATTAAGCCGAATGGGTTTGAATCTCATCTCTGTCCCTTACTAGTTGTAGGACTTTTGACAAGATATTTAATCTGTCTACATCTGAGTTTCCTTATCTGTAAAAGGTTAAAAATAATAGCTACTGGTAGAGTCACTGTGATGATAAAGTGTGATAATTTATATAAAATAATTAAATTGCATACAATGCTTGATTCATGAGGAGCACTGAAACGCTTATTATTACTTCTGTCATTGGATAGGCAAAGCCAGCACTCTCTCAATCTCCGCCATTTGACTAAGAAGTGGGGCTAAAAGAGAGAGAACACATCTACCTCAAAAGAGGAACTTGCTCAATAAGCAGTCATTCAATGAATTCCAAAATGTAAAGTATCAGATTCTGAATTGAAGCAAATTTCCTCTAGCTTACTTGGAATTAGCAAATCATAGACCACAGGGAAAAATTAGAGTAATGACAATAGATGATTAAAGAATAAGAGGTGAAGCACACAATTCAGTGATGTTTGTATAGATTTTTTACAGTGCTTTGTTACTTTGAAAGAATTCCAACAGTGGTAATCAATCCAATTGTTCGGATCTTAGTAAATATATGAAGACTCTTAAAATAGCACTATCATCTGAAGTCAGCTTTAACATCATTGGAGAAAGATGGTCTAACAATAGCTTAGGACAGTTCTTTCAGCAATCAGATATAATGCCATGCATTTTGAAGACAAGTTTCTTAGTTCAGCTTTCTCCTATACCTATTGAGTTACACTGAGAATAATTTATTGCAGTCAATCCTGATTTGACTCCTAATTTTCATGTTGTGTAGAAGTCTGAATATTCACTTACATCGTAGACACTCAGTTGTACAAAGAGTTGCAACTTCTTTATTTTTACTAGAACTTCTCAGATTCTCAGATTTCCTTATAAATCCCTGTGTTTTGGAGGAATTCGAGAATATAGGGGGTGGCCAGTGGGTACATATTTTGTTTAATCTGCAGATGTTAATCCTGTCCAGTCATTTGCACCATCTCTTTAGAAAGCCCAGCTTCTGCTTGGATGACTTCAGGTAAGTGCTCAGGCATTCAGAAGTTGGCTCCCTCCTGTTTCTCTCTAGGAAAGCTTCTGGGTATAGGGAAGGGGGCTGAGGCTTCTGCATCCTTATAGAAGTTTAGGGGAGATGCGGGGCGGGGGCGGGGGGTGCTGCTCCTTGGACTAGTGACAGGTTCTGTCAGACCTTGTAAGTGAAAACTGAGTTCCAGCACTGAAGTGGGTGGTGCAGGTCATTTGCCTCTAATTCTTCACAGCCTTCAGCGTCCCCTATCTGTCCCTAAGTCTACAAAACCTTTCTGCACCCCTGGGACTCCTCACAGAGTGTCTGTCCCCTTTTAGGTCACATATATGGGTAGGAAGAACCAGTTGCTCACTCTTGACTCACATTGTGCTGCCTTCCCCATGCTGCTATCTCCCCCACGCCATCTTGGATGTGCATCAAGCCAGAGGCTAGAACTTGTGGGGGGAACCACAGCCTCTTCTACACCACCAGAAAAGTGAGGCATTTAGTCCAAATATTCTTCAGCCTTCCACATAGCCATGTGAATGTTTCTAAAACCTTACTTGCTAAGCTTTCAACCTCACATGGGAGATAGAGTTGAGAACTGGATATTTGATCTATTCAAACTCCTGTCATACTTCCCTTGGACCAGAAGAGGCAGGATTCAGCCTTTCTATTTCCTCTACCTCAGATTCTCTTGTCTCCTTTATCAGCCATCCTCATAGCTTAGTTGCCTTGAAGGGAAGGGTTAGGCATTATTCACTGCTAGAAAATCTATGAATTGAATTCTCATGGTTTATTCTTAACAGTTAAAGAAATTTAGAAAATGTTCTTGTCAGGGAAAATTAATGATTATTACCTTTTAGAAAATCCTATTTTGATGTCAGAAGCTAAATACTAATCCTCCGTATATTTCTTAACCTTTGGTATTTATTTTTCTTTGTTGTTTTTTCTTTTTATTTAATTACTATTTTTTTAAATTGTGTGTGTGTGTGTGTGTGTGTGTGTGTGTGTGTATTTAAGTAAGCTCTCCACCCACTGTGGGAACTGAACTCAAGATCAAGAGTTGCATGTTCTATGGACTGAGTCCGTCAGGTGCCCCCTAAATACTAACCCTTCCTAGCCTTTTGTATTCCTTCTGTAACCTTCCTAAATCCTCTCTCAAGGAAAATGGTGCTTCTGGAAGAAAAAGGAAAATCCATGAGAAAAATCTCAATATATTTCAAAAATAACCCCTATTACGACTGATTGTCATTACTCCAAATTCAGACAATTTTAATAGAGAACATTAATTTGCTGAGAGCTTTCCAAATGCTTTTGAAAGGTTGAAACAAAGAGCAAAATTGGTTAGCAGAGAGCAGAATCAGTTCTTCAGGAGTTTCAAAATTAAATAAACGCTTGCTGAACATAGGAATGGTTTTCAAGAGTTACCCTAGAATGTCATAATTCCAACCAGCTAACTAGATAGTAAATGTTGGATGACCCACTATTACTTTAAATTATTTTTTTTCCAAACTAGGCTCATAATCTTTCTTTTAAAAAAATCTGGCTTGCTTTCTTTATATTTTCATCTTGTTAATGATACTATATTTCCCCCAACATTACAATCAACTTCAACAAATTTCATTCAAATCACATTTGCTACATCAATGTCAGGTGCTGCGTTAGCCATTGTAGCATGTCTAGGGCACAAATTCTGCCCTCAGGGAAATTTCTATATAACGCCCCCTATCTAATCAATCACTGAGTCATATAGATAGGTCCTTTGAAAATGTATCTCATGTTTCCTCTTGTTCCTTTCTCCTACTGTTACGAGATATATCCTTGAGATATATCCTCGTATCTGAATCACAGCCATGGTAGCTTAACGTCCCTCTCCCTCCAGTCCACCAAGTCCCTACTGACCAGAGCACAACACCATCTTCAGTTATTTCTTGATCCCAATATCATTGGTGCCCAATAAATACTTATTAGATTTAATTCAGTCTTTTATTCATTACATAGATGTCTCTGATTAGCCCAAGAATTGTATCCAAAAGCAAGGAGAGAGGGCCTTCCCTGATGTCAATGTTACTTCATTCATGTGGACCAACCATCAATGGTTGCTTACTATTCCCACTGGGTGATCACTGCCCTTGACAGCCTGAGGACATTGAGCTGGGTGGCTCCCTCTTTGGATCATTCTGGTATTTTTCAAACTCCTTTCCTTAGTCTTTTTATGGATGCCTTATGCACATAATAATGTTTTTTAAAATTTTTTAACGTTTATTTATTTTTGAGAAAAAGAGACATAGTGCGAGCTGGAGAGAGGGAGAGACAGAAACTGAAGCAGGCTCCAGGCTCTGAGCTGTCAGCACAGAGCCTGATGCGGGGCTTGAACCCACAAACTGTGAGACCATGACCTGAGCCAAAGTTGGACGCTCAACCGACTGAGACACCCAGGTACCCCTCACATAATAATTTCTTAATGCCTTTCAGTGTTTAGTGCTAGTCACATATTTGATCCTAATATGTTGCCTTAACTATTAATTTCATCTCTATTTGTCTTGAATTATTGAAAAAGAAATATTAAGAAATGGTGATGCTATATTACTTTAAAGACTGAAAAGTAATATAATTAATGGTCATTTTCCTGACTCGGGGGAGGGAGAAAGAACCCGGTATTCAGCATCCAGGCTCCAAAGCCAATTTCACTTCAGAAAAACTCTCACTTCAGCCTTGCTTTGGTGTGAGTGCGTAGGTCATCGTGAAGGACACAGAATACCAATTAAATCTCCTCAGGGAAAGAGTTGGGGTTTGCTCAGATGGCTCAACTGTTCGTAAATACACTTGTTTTATATTTATTGAATAGAAGGACAGGCTTTCACACTCCCTGGCTCCCTGAGATGGTGGAGGCAGAAAACACAGAAGGTTTTAAAGGGGGCCCTGCTCTTTTCTTTTATAAAGAGAAATGTGGTAAAAGAGGAGATACAGGCAGAAATTGCTGGAGCAGAACAGACCACAGTCCTGAGTGTCAGGGGTCGTCTGTGAGCCCCACCAGGCAGTTTCAGTCTGGAAAAGAGCTGCTCTCACCCTGTCGTGCACTCTGATGTTTCCCCCAATCTTTCTGGAGATTTTTAATATGTAAGTAACGTAAACATCATACAGAAAGAAAAAAAAAAAAAAAACAGAGAGACCAGAAAAATAACAAAATTGATCACTTGTACTCAGTCACTGTAACACTTTCTAGCTTGTTTTTTTCCCTTCTCATGTATATGGCATACGTCTCAATAATATTCTAGTCCCTAATATATGTCTATTGGTTAACTTAACTAACGAGCAACTTAAAGGCTAGAATCATACATGAACACACAAGTTCATGTTCTGTTTTTTTATCCACTTTAACTAACAGAGGCCTTTTACTTTTTTGATGTTGGTGAATAATCATTGCCTTTATTTTCAAAGGTTTTGAAATTTCCATTGAGTGGATATGCCATAATTTACTAATAATACCTGTCTGTTTGGAGAACATTTATATTTTTACAATTTTTCTAGTATAGATAACCTGTGATGATAAGCTTATGACACGTTTTGTGGGCTGCTTCGTTTGGATAGATTCCCTAGACCAGAGGTGAGCACACATTTCCTGCAAAGGTCCAGATAGCAAATATTTGCTATACCTTCAACCATATTCTTGGTTGCTAAAATAAATAAATAAATAAAAAAGCAGCTCCTATGGTCTTTGTTTCAGCAACTCACCTCTGCTAATGTAGTGCAAAAGCAGTTATAAGCAATACACAAATGAATGAGCATGTCTACATTCAAATAAAACTTTATATATATGCAATCAAACTTAAGTTTATTCCACTTTTAACGGGTCATGAAATGTTATCTTTTCTGATTTTGTTCCAATCATGTAAAGAATATAAAAGCCATCCTTGGCCCATAAGATGTACAAAAATAGGAAGCAGCCAAGACATGGCCAGCTGGCCTATGGTTTGCTCTAAAGTCTAGGAATTATTGGGTCAAAGGATTCATAGTCAGCTAGGTTTTTGCTGGAAATGTTAACAGTTACCCTCAACCGTATTTCTTGGTTGTGAAACTTCTCATTGGGACACTTAAATAGGCAGTGTTTTCTTCCTGGATTACAAAATTATTAAAAGACAATGCAGAAGACCTACCTTCTGCAGTTTATTACCTCTGGACAGTAACCATTCTCTTAAATCGATTTAGAGTGACAGGCTGTATAAGGGGTCATCTGCCTTGGCCACCGGAAGCACGAAAAGCTCTAGTTTAAAAGGTGTCCAGAAGGGGCACTCCAGGATTTCATCATCTAATCTTTATCTTCCCAATTCAAACACATTTCATTCTAATTCTTCAGTTGGTCCTGAGAACACCTGGCCAGCTGCCACCTTCAAACACAAAGACAATTATTAAGTTAATCCCGCTGCATTTCTTTCTCTCTCCTGGGTTGATAATGAGGGACAAGAACTATTTCCTTTTGTGGATTGTGAAACTGAAGAATAAAAGTGCCTTTTTTTTTATTGGATGGTAACTCAGAAAAAAAGGAAAGCCATGTTCTCTGCCTCTAGGGCTAACTGTCATGATCATAAATTAATATTTATTAAACATCTGCGGGTTGCATTCCACTGTGTGAGGCACAATGGCAATTAGTCCCATTCATTACTGTACATTTTTAAATTTTTTTCAATTTATTAAATTGTATCCTGGATGATTAGATTGCTTCAGGCCACAAGTACAAAATTGAAAATATTCAATTAGGATACATATAACAAAGCAGCGGCAGTTAAAACACAGTGCATTAAAATATCAGCGTTATAATTCCTATTCTCAGAATCTCGAAGGAGCGGATTTACAAGGTGTTCTGAAGGCCAGAGGACTTGGTCAGAGCATGAAGGGCAAGGAACTCTCCAGCTCCCCATAGATGCAGATCGGAACCCAAGCTTTATGGCAGCTTATCAAATCTCCCAGAGCTTTTTGAAATCACCTCTTACCTTTAGGATATGAAGAAAGTACATCCACTGTTTTTATTCCAACTGGAAGTTAAGAATCTTTTAAATAAAAATACACAACTCTTCTTTATATTGTCTCCCTTGCTCTAAATATTTTCAGGGGATTTTTGTATAAACCAGGCAATAAACTAAATACAAAGAAAAGAGTCAATTCTCTTTGTGAGAATGTCAAAGGGGTTAAGGTCAAAGTTATACAGGGCTAAGGGTGACTAATGGATAGAGGGATTCCACCGGAATCCGTCCAGAGATGAGAGTTACGAGGGGGTTTGCTTGTTTTTATCCTTACAAATGAAAGAGAAAATCCTATGTGGGCTTAGTAAATATGTGACTTGCTCTGAATCACATGGGACTGTTAATAAATACCGCAGAGAAAAGAGGTCAATTCAGGGTCCCTGGGTGGCTCAGGAGGTTAAGCATCTTGCTATTGATTTCGGCTCAGGTCATGATCTCATGGTTTGTGAGACCCAGCCCGCATCAGGGTCTGTGCTGACAGCACTGAGCTTGCTTGAGATTCCGTCTCCCTCTCTCTCTTTGCCCTTTCCCCTCAAAATAAATATGTAAACCTTATTTAAAAAAGAGAGAAATTTAAAATAGTTTTGACTATTAAAAACTCTATAGATTTAATAGGGACACACCTCGTAAGATGAAATTTAAAGTGACAAATGTAAAAGGATATACCTAGGGGGAAGAGAAAAGTCAACAAAGAATACAAATGCAATAAAGCAACCTAACCTAATAAAGTTAGGCCTCCGTGTCCTAGAAAGGCACTTGGGCTAATATTTGACAATGAACTGAATTAAATCAATAATGGAGTGTCACTGGAAGATGAATCAATACAAATTTAGAATATTTGGTGTCTGCCATCCTGTCGCAGATTCAGGTATATAAAAATCATTCAGAATCAAAAAGCATGATTCTGAAACAATGCCTAAGAACCACGTGGAGATGCTTTAAAATGAAGACGCTAGTACCTATTACTGTAAATATGATAGTAAGTTCTCGAGAAGGATCTCAAGAGTCTGTGTCTGCAAGCCTGCACCATCATTCATATGCAGGTTGGTCTCTGGACCACACTTTGAGGAACTTACTCTAGAGGGTGATTAAATCTTTTCAGTCACCGTCTGCAGTTCAAGCACCTATTCTTGGTAGGTGGCATCGCCATGACTTTCAACTTAGTGACCTACTCACTGGGCTTTGTACAGACCTGAGAATTAAGAGTAGTTCCGTTCCTGCTTAGGCCACCCACTTCTGTTTTTTATTTCTTTAAAAATATAACTCTTCATTAAAACAACTGCTTAAACGATATATGCTATGATTTGACTATTTCTCTGTCCTCTGAGCTTCTTGAGAGCAGAGACTGGTTTTGTTCACCCTGATGGTCTCAGTGCTGAGCACAGGGGAGTTCAATTATATTTTTGGTTGGATGTGAAGCACAATGATTGATCAAAGCTGTAAAATATGATATATAGCATATCTGTATTTAAAGAAATATAAATCTCTGCATAACAGAGATTCCCACTTAGAGTCAAGCTTTAACGCTATGAGTGGAAAAACTTTTTCTCACTTATTTTTGTGCTTAATATTCACCCAATTCTACCTGCTCTGGCTGAGGGCTTCAGAGCCATTTCAGATTACCTTACCGGTTGGATACAATTTGCCATAGAGAAGGTACTAATCTGTTTCTTAAGAACAACATGATGTGTCACTCTCCTCCCCACACTTAACCTTTAGTCTCTTCAGGCCTAAACTTGCCCTCTAGTAAAAGACTGCTTTCAATGTCTCCATGCTGTGATGCTATGGCCGTATTTACATTCTAAGTTCTAACGGCCCAAGCGTCAGGCTTTCTTGTTCTGTTGGTTAGCAGTGTCCCTCTCTCTCTCCCTCTGTCTGTCTCTCTGTCTCTTTCTCTCCCACACACACACACTGAAGCACACAGTATTTGATTCTGCCTAATCCTCTTTTTCTAACCTCCTTTGTTCACTCTAGTTAAACATCTTCCTACTCACTTAACTTCATTTGGATGTTACTGTGTATAATTTTTTTCAGATAACATTAACTCATCTTCCTAAGCTCTCAGATCATTTTTGTAGTATCTTCATGGGATTTCATCTTCTGTCATGAATATTTTACTGTTTAAACCAAGCAAAATTCTTGGTTATACAGTGGTTGCTTCGTGAGGCAATCCTTGTTCACCACTTTTTTTTAACTTAAATGTTTTATCTATCTATCTATCTACCATCTATTTATTTAATTTTACCTGAATGTTTTATTAATATTTTTTTAAAATTTACATCCAAGTTAGTTAGCATATAGTGCAACAGTGATTTCAGGAGTAGACTCCTTAATGCCCCTCACCCACTTAGCCCATCCCCCCTCCCACAGCCCCTCCAGCAACCTTCCGTTTGTTTTCCATATTTAAGAGTCTCTTATGTTTTGTCCCCCTCCCTCCCTGTTTTTGTATTATATTTGCTTCCCTTCGCTTACGTTCATCTGTTTTGTATCTTCAAGTCCTCATGTGAGTAAAGTCATATGATATTTGTCTTTCTCCAACTGACTAATTTCACTTAGCATAATACCCTCTAGGTCCATCCACGTAGTTGCAAATGGCAAGATTTCATTCTTTCAGATTGCCGAGTAATACCCTTGTTCACCACTTTAAGCTAAGCTTTAGTGAACTGTTGCATTCAGCAAAATGTGTGCCCCCTTTTGAAATCTATTTATTAAACTAACATGTTTTCAGAAAAAAGCATATATTCCCTATGAAAAATTAATGATATTGGAGCTGTTTCGTCTATAGACCAGAATGCTGAGGGATTAGCTTTACTTTTTTCAGCTCCACGAAGGGCTTTTGGGAAAGAGGTGTCTGATTGCTAGTTTTCTGTGTCTAGAGAGAATAAATAAGAAACTCGGGGCTTAAGCTAAAGCAGGAGAACCACAAGTTTCACCATAGGAGGAATTCAGCTGCGTCTGTCAACTGAGGACGAGAATAGCAAGGGCGCTGGAAACTTCGGATTTTCTACTTGCCTAAAAGCAGGACCCGGCTGAGAGGTTCTCTTGAAGCCCTATTGAACTGGATTAATCATAGGAAGAAAGAACAGCTATGTGGATGAATGTGGATGTGATTTTTCTCAAGTTAAAAGAAATGGGATCTTTTGATGTTTGCACCCAAGATAATCAAATGAGATAGCAACAGGTGCTCAAAGAACGAATGAAGTAATGAACGAAAGGACTGGCAAGCATCAGGCTCCTTGCTGACAGCGCGGAAGCTGCTTGGGATTCTCTCTCTCCTTTTCTCTCTATGCCCCTCGCCCTAGCTCACTCTCTCTCTTTCTCTCAAAATAAATAAGTAAACTTCAAAAAATAAAAAATAAAAAGGAATGACCAGTGTCTGCTACACAGAAGGATGAAAAAGGTTTGGGTAAACTAGTATGCACCAAAAACATGCATTTGTTCACTCATTCTTTCAACCGTATATACTGGGTCCTTACCACATGCCAAATACTGTTCCAGTACTTGCAAAAGAACAAAACCGAAATCGCGCCCTGTGTAGTTTGCGTGCTATTAGTGGAACGCTAATAATACATGAAAAATATAATAAATACGTAAATCATAAAGTATGTTAGGATGTGATCAGTGCTGAGAAAGAAAGGTCGCAGATTAAGGGAGGTCAGGAGTGCAGGGGTGAGTGCTAAGGTGCAGAAGTAGAGTGGTCAGGGCAGGACTCACTAAGAAGAAAGATTTAAGCAAAGACTCTCAGGGAAGAGGGACTGAGCCCGGAGGCTGTCATCGAGCATGGGGTGGGGGTGGAGGAGGTCTGCTCTAGGCCGAGAAAGAGCAGAGGCACTGCGGCACAAGGAGCTCGATGGCCTCAAGGGACGGCATGGAGGCCGTGTGGCTGGAAGGCAGTGACGGAGAGAAGCAGGAGAGCGGATTAGAGGAAAGGGAGTGCAAATGGATCATGAAGGGCTTGGTCAAACTTTGAATATTTACTCTGAGTAAATGGGAGCCATGGCAAGGTTTGAGGCAGAGGAGCGACAGCAGATGACTTTTAGTTTAGAATGCTCACTCAGGCTGCTGTGCTGGGAATTGGCTGAAGAAGGGAAAGGCAGGAGCAGAGAGACCTTCCCGAGAATCTTGCAGTAAGACGAGAGTTGAGGGGGGCGCCTGGGTGGCTCCGTCGGTGAGCGTCCGACTTTCGCTTAGGTCATGATCTCGCGGTTCGTGGGTTCGAGCCCCGCGTCGGGCTCTGGGCTGACTGCCGGCTCAGAGCCTGGAGCCTGTTTCAGTGTCTGTGACTCCCTCTCTCTCTGGCCCTCCCCTGTTCACGCTGTCTCTCTCTCTCTCCTAGAAATAAATAAAACATTAAAAAAAAAAAAAAA